AAAATAATATTTGTTGTAAGATAATAACTATTTGCATAAATATTAATATTGACTTGCATTGATACGTGTATGTACAAGATATCATACATAGCTTGCTAGACTTGTTTGGCTCCAGAGCTGCATATTGTCATTAAACCCTGGCTGGGTCTTCATTCTCTCTCTCTAGAAAAATTCCATGAGTTATTATCGTAATTTATGGTCATCTTTTGACCGGCTATATATGAAGCTAATTAGGAACTCCACTTGTAAGATGTGTTCTTGGTTAAGGTTACAGAGCTATTAATATACATTCGGGATATTCGGCTAGTGTGTTGGCCTAGTACTTGCTTTCCTTCTCCTTGGTTCAATTTACTTTAAGTAATTTACTTCTTGAGATTATGAGAACATGTTGCATTTGACTGATTCACTCTCGTCGGCATACCTTTTTGCCCAACTAATTTTTGGAGTTTGTATTTAACGGCTTGAAAGCTCTATTATTGGCCTCATAAACAGCACGTTCAGCACTTCCCAGACTGACCACAGCTTGGCGCTGCTCTTTAGTATAGCACCACCACCTCGGCAAGCCAAGAGGAGTATCGATCGACACTCACAATTGGGTCAAGCTCGACAAGCACCAAGAGGATGGCCGTGGAAATCAAGGTATTGCCAACACAAGTGTTTAAATTAACCCACTGCTACACGGATTGAAAACATTCGTCGGCAAGTTATTCGGCAAACATTACACGTAACATTTCTTATTTGGCACATTATTTGGCGTTCGGCATGGACATGTTACTCGGCAATACTGAGAACTCATAGGCAACTGCTCGGCAAAGCTCCAAAGCTACTTTGGTCATTTATTCAGCTTATATATTCGGCATATCAACTACAAATTCACGACTTATTTGGCATTAGCATCTCGGAAATTCGGCTAACATTATTTGGCTCATTGATTACTCGGCAAGACTACTCGGCCACACACGGTAACATGCTCCATAACATTGAACATCCTCGGCACAAAACTACAATTATTAACTGTTATTAACTTGCCTACCTCTTCGACAAAAATCTCATGCTTATTATCTCGACATAGAACTAGTATCTCAGCTTGCCGAAATCAACATCTGAATATATGAGAGGATTCACGTCAAATCAAGGAGTCCAAACCCACCAACCCGAGCAGCCAAGTAGCCAAAGTTCTTTGAAAATTGCGAAACGGACCACATTTTCTGAACATTAAAATTTTCAAAGTTATCGAAATCAAGTTTTGATCATCCCAATGCGAAGTACTCATCGAGACGAATCCAACCCAACAAACCGCGTCAAAATCGGTGCTAAAACGAAGTCGTGCGAGTCGATCAAAGTTTGCCCGGAAAATGAATTCTTTCGCTGGAGAAGACGACTCAGAAAGCTATAAAGAAATAATCTTGTGCTTCACGGTTGCTTTACACCCTGTTGATCTGAGCCATTCAATCCATTTTGGCTACAAATTACGCCATCAGGAGTCTGATCACAGCGATCCAATAGTAGAGTGCATATCACCAAGCACTCTACTTTTTCTCGGCCTCATTCCAATTTCACCACGGCACCGACCAGGGACACGGAATCCGTTTCAAATTGTTATCGGCCTACTCGGTAATTTTAGCCCAAGTCAATTTTATTCCTTTCGAATAACCAATCTTATTCAAAAGCAATGGGGCAAGTATACATTGGACAAGAAACTCAACTTCAATAAATTGGCAACCATTGCTAACCAAGTTCTTAGCAAATGCCGACATACCACAACGTTAAGAAAAATCGCCGACCAAAAGATCAGCACAATCATCGACCCAAGTGTAGCTGACCAACTTTTCAGCAAAATCACATTATATATGAAACGGACACCGATGTTTTGACACTAGCTACTCGGCAGTGCATCAACTTTACTCGGCAAGATCATTCGACACCATTATTAAGTCAACATTATGCATGATCATTATTCGGCCGTGCATCAACTTTATTCGGCTAAACAACATTATTTGTCAACTTTATGCATTGTCAAACTTTATGCAGCAACATTGGTCACAGTATTCGGCAATTTTATTCGCCTAATGACATTATTTGGCAAAACAATTGCCCACTGGGACATCTTAGTCAATTTTCTACTCTCCAATTGGGGCACATCAGTCGATCATCATCTCGGCACCTTTCATATGCATGCATACTCGGCCAGCTTGGTACAAACATTACAACATTTACTTGAGTTCCACACTCCCGTTCCTTTTCACACTGCTCTAAGCAAGTGCCAGTTTTGGGGCAATACATTACACACTTGGCAGTCGACCATTAGCACTTGGCAGTCGACAATTCGCATTTGACAGTTAGCAGTTCACATATTGTTGTGCGCCATCATTTTACCGAAGCCGAATCTTCCCTGCAACATAGGGCAATCGGAATCTGTATTCCTTCCGACTAACACTTGTCATTCGAAAGCAATGGGGCAAGTCTACCTTGGACTAAACACAAACTGAGCAACTCGGCAATTAAATAGTTGGCCCAATATCTACTTGGCAATTCTTTACAAGCGAAGCAATATTATTGGTGATTAACACATCCACCTTATTTGGTACAGGATGCATTATTCAAAGTCCTTGCCATATTGGCACTTGTTTGCCAGTAAAAATCAGCAAAAGTCTCCGAGTACAGCGCAATCTTCGCACTCGGCACAGAGCGCCGTTAGCAAAGGCCTACACCCATGCCCGGGGGTTAGAATACTGCGGCCTACACCCATGCCTGGGGGTTAGAATACCACGGCCTACACCCATGCCTGGGGGTCAGAATACTGCAGCTTACACCCTCGCCCGGGGGTCATAATATCGCGGTCCATTTTTGGGCTGATATATCTACCTTATTTAATTTGTCTTATTTGATTCAGGTAATCATTCCCGTGCTCGGCATATAGAAATATTTCTAGCTCGGCACGAAAGTCCATATTTGGAAGCAATCTTTGCACCCGACAATATATTACACCCTTGCCCGGGGTTATAATACCGCGGCCCACACCCTTAGCTGGGGGTTATAATATCGTGGCCTATCGTTATAGAGATAGTATTACTCACTGGGCTTTAGTTCACCTCTTTCCTCTATATACATATATTTGTACATACATTCATACATACATGCATTCATCCAGCCATTCATTCATTTATGTTATTCATTTATCAAATGTATTTTTTGTCAAAAAACCTAACAGTTATTTGAACAGCGTAACTTGGCAAGGAAAATCTCTCATTCCTTCTATCGTAGACAATGAAAGTTTTGGGGCAATTGTGGGAGCCAGAAAATTATAGGTACTAGCTTATTAGGCCTAACCCAAACAAGGCCTGCCAAGGGCCCAACTATTGGGCTTATTCGGCCCACCCCTGTCTATAAAAGGAAGGCACTTCATGGCATATGGAAGGTAATCTCTCTCTCCCACATAGCATACAAACACTCTTGATTTCTATACATTCATTCTTCTAATAAAAGGGTTAACTTTAGCATCGGAGTGTCTCCGCCCGGCAACCCCGGTTGGGTGGCGCCGATCATGTTCGTCTTTGCAGATCTACAGGGATGAACCTCTTCTCTTCGTTGGATCTCTACAACATCCATGTGAGAGGATATTTCATAGTCTCACAGTATGCAAATAGGTCCCTACTTCTCATTTTAATTGAAGGAAAAGAGGTCTATCAACGTTAAAGTAGATAACCAATTGGGTTAGTTGAGTTGATTAGTCATTGTACATTGTCAATTGAATTTTAAGTGATTAATTATTGCCATAGATAAAAATTAATTACTTGCTTTCTTTCATAGCACTTTTATTTAGTTGTTTATTTCTTTCTTATTATCGGTTCTTTCTTATATTAGTTGTTGGTATTATTATTACAAAAATAATAATATTAAATTAGATAATTAATTTTATTAAAAAATTCAACAAGACAAATGGTAAGTCTATATGGTTAAGATTTGTTTGTCGAAGCGAGAAATCTGGTGTTGTAAGAGAAGGGGTATTGGGTCAAAATAATAAACAGGTTGAGTTAATGTTGAAATAATTCTGACACAAATCTAAAATAACACAACCCAACATGATACAATGCCCACCCTTAATGGATAAAATGTTTGAATTAATGGTCATGGACAAAATTTTCAGAGCATTTTCTTATGCTGAAGCACTGTTTATTGCATAATAAGGGACACCAAAATACAATCAGTTTAGAGCTGTAATTTAAATTGGAACTTTCACCAGTCTCCTATTTTTCTTTATTCAAATCATGCAAGTGAATTTATCTTTATTTCAAATTATTTATTTGAATTTTTGAAAAGTTAAGTCAAAATTTCAACCTAATCATATTGGTGGGAAAACGAACTTTCATCCCCAAATTTGTTTAGTATTTTTAAAATTACAAGGTAGAAAGACTTGAACATCATAGAGAAAAGCGTATGCTGTCAGAATTACAAGAGGTCACAACCTATATCAACATCACAAATCTTACCTGGTTAAGATACCAAATTCAAAACAAGAAAAACAGTAATAAAGAATCTAAAAAACCAGCAAAAAAACAATCATATACGCTCCAAAAATTCACTAGCATTGTAAAGGGAGTCTTCAATGATGACAATCACACTTCAGATTTTGCCTTTTACCCATGAAGCTACTCACTTTCACTAATTTGATTATATTCTCCCAATCGATTTTCTCCTTGTTAAATGTGTCTATTCCTGCTTAACCACAGAGACCACGTGATAGTGGAAAATAGTCTCTCAAATTAATTTTGTCAGATCACAGTACCTTCACCACAGGAAATGAGGATTTCGGCGGCGTTTTTTGACAACGTTTTTTTAACGTCATTTTTCTCAATATTTAGCGGCGTTTTAAAAACGTCGTATATTTCTTCAACTAAAACCGGCACCGTTTTGTAATAGAAGGCGTTTAGAAACGCCTCCAAATACGGTAGGCCTCACGCTCCGATTTTGAATGTGGGATAATTGTTAAAGCCTTTGTAAACCCTAATTTTGAATCCTCACGGCTTCAAATATCGCCTCTCTCTCAACCGTCTCTAAACCCTTATCATTCTCACGATGTTGCTCCAGAGCGGTGTCATCCTTCAGAGCGATTTCGATTTCGAAGCTCCACCGCGACCACCGGCGAGGTAGCGAGCACCATCGGCGAGCAATTTCGATTTCGAATCTCCAGAGCGGCGTCTAGATCTCTCTCTTCATCTTTGAGATTCAGAGATTCAGATCGGTCTCAGTGATTTCATCTCAGAGCTATTTCGATTTTGAAGTTCTCTCTGTCGATTTCCAAACTCCAGCGAGGTATCGATTTCTCTCTCTCTCTCTCTCTCTCTCTCTCAAGCTCTTCCTTCCCGTCTCTCTCGATTTGGTATTTATTTGCTTGGAAACCTGTTCAGTTTCTTCTTTTGTTTGCTTTGTCATTCTTCCTCACTATGTTGTTTTTTGCTTTGAGAAAATGCCAAATGTGATTGTGATTATGACATTTGTTGGATTTGAGATCATTGACACTCGTATGGTTAAAATCTGGCTGGTGGCTTAGCCAAACGCTGGTAATTTGTTGCAGGAAGATTAGATTTCTGATAACTAGTTGAATTTCATTTGTGCAGTTAGCATTATTAAACTGAATTTATCTTCTTATTGAGTCAATGGCCTGTTCTGAATAATCTTTTTTGACTCATTCTGTATTCTGTTATCATTTTCATTTTTCATTTTGCCTTAATTGCCTACTTTAATGTCTGGACTTTTACTAGTAAATGCAAAAAATCATCTACCACTCTTTCAAATATTGTTAGGTATTTGACATCTCAACTCTACAAATAGAAATAGAACAAATACAGGTGCTGCATACTACATACTCATCAAGTGTGCAACTCATCCCATTGCCTAGTTTAATTGAAGCACTTGAGGAATTGGATTTAAACAATGCAACTGGAGGCCTTTAAACAATGAATGTTTTATATTAGAATAACTCATAAAATAATCATTATTCAGAACGGAGGGAGGAGTGAGCTAGGGTTGACATGTCCTCATATTAGAATGACTGATGGGAATTTATTTTGGTTTGTAGCATTTTTCCCCCTCTTTCCTTATGACCTGCTACTGGCTAGGGCCTTGTTTGATGAACATTCCCCAAATTTTTGTATCCATGTTGGGTTTAGCAATGCAATGTAAATAAGGTCAGCAGTTAGACAGTAAAAAGCTGTCTAGATGGAGAACTCCACATATATGTTGCCTAAACATGTAAACATCATATTAAGGCTCTGTTTTTTCGACTAAAAAAGCCACTATTTGGCTATTTAAGCCCAAAAAAAAAAAAGTTTGTTTTTCGGCTTAAAAAGCTAACAATTGAAAAGAAAGAAGCAACTAAGAGACTTTTCTACTTCAGCAACGCTTCAGGTAAGTTGTCCTTACATGCAGAATTCAATGTGTCATCTTTTCTACTTCAGGACTTTGCAATTATTTACGATAGATTCTTATTTCAGGGAATTGACATTAAAGAAATGCTTGTTGGTGCATCATTGATGGATGAGGCAAATAGGACCACCGTGGTAAAGATTTATTATTCATTCTCTTATTATTATTACTATTATTTTTAAAGTTAAAAATTGGTTGGTTCTGTTTTAAAAAATGATTAATCAAATCAGTTTGGATTTACTTATTCATTATGAGAAAGCTGTTCCATAAGACCATTATCAAAATTGCACAACCCACTCAAATCTTTCACTGAACGAGTCTTGTTTTTCTGTTTTATTCAGAATCTCAGATCCTATGATAACTTGGTCTTTTTTTATTTTGACAAATTGGATTCATTGTATTACTGGGAAAATTAGTGGGGCATAATGCATTTTTGCAAATTTTATGTCATTCCTAGATAGTTGGCCCTTGTTTCTGAGTCATTCCTGTAATTGAATGATGAAATTCTGGAAGTTTCATATCTTGCAAAGCCATAAGATATGTATCTGGTTCAAAATGCAAAGTTTAGTTTGCTTATCCCTCCATGGCTTCTGGTTAGTTCAAGTGTTCTTTGCATAGTTTTTGTAGTACTTGGACTCTAGGTATTAAAGGCACTGTTATGCACATTCCCCTAGTGTTAGTATTCTTTTTCATATATGAATTGTAGAGACTGTTAGTCACAGATGCATCTACAAAAATTTGGGATGATGCTCTTTAATCTTTTTGTTCATTTGACGTTCTAAATTATACATTCTGTTTTTAAGCTTATATTGACTATCTTATGCATTTGATATGCTTTGCAGTCATGCAATTCTTAGGTATCTTGCTTGTGCATTTCCTGGAGTAGTTGATCACTGGTGAGAATTGTTGCCTCTTTTTTGCAATTAGTTTGCCTATAAAGACCTGTGTTATATCAGTACTTCATATTGTGTTAGATACCAATTTCAGACACGAGACAACATGGCATGGGTGTATGTACACATACCCTACAGTTTTGTCTGTCAAGACTTAGGGAGCACATTCTTGGTTTCCTCAGATTCCTTACAGTATGTTAACTCAATTTTAAAATGAGGGAAGACACCTACTTCCTGTAGTTAAGCTTGGTGGTGTTCATACCCTTGAATCTGGTTCAAGTTTTTCTAGGAGCTCGGAACTATATTAATTTGAAACTTAGCTAAACAGTAACCTCCTATAACTTGCCCATTTTTGAAAACTGAAGTTTCCATATATGATATCCTGTCTCGTGAACACTTTAGCTTCCCAGGGTATAGGAGAACCAAACAGGACAAGTTCAACAATTTTGCCATGTTTCTATCCTAAAATTTTGAGGTTTGATAAATATGAGATATGATGTTCACTTAACATACTTTTCATTTTTTTACAAAATGCATGTCTATTTCACATGTGGTATTCATTGCGCATCCCAAAGCTGTTATGTACTTGTGTCTCATATTTGATTCTAATATTTATATTCTGCAGCCTGGTTCTTAACAATGTTTTCTGTTCATTCTTAAAGGTGTCTGATCTATTCAAAAGGTCAAAGATTGAATTAGTGTTGGATTGGCATCACTCTAATTTACGCTGTGGTGCAGGTATTTTATTCCCAATGTTTTGGTATAGTAATTTTTCACCCTTTTATTTATATTTTCTAAGGTCTATGTCGTCTTGATTGATCTTTCCTTTTCAGCTACTTATGTTCTAAATACTACGCTTGCACCTGTGCTTGGCCTTCAATTGAACCCACAAGCTGCTGCTGAAGGTGAAAAACTATTGTTTGCATCACTTGCAAAGATTGAGTCTTTTTGGTTGAAGGGGAATGGTCGGTTTTTGCTAGGAAGCTCTCAGTAGTTCGAGTGGAGGTATAATTATTCTCTCACATCAATTAAAAGTCTTTTATTTTGCCATCTTGAGATTGAAAATCCATAAAAGCTTCATGAAGTTTGAAAAAGCAAGTTTTGCAATGTATCTTGTTAATATTAATTAACCTTTAGCTTTTTGTGTGCTCAAAGCCTTGGAAACCTGCCTTTTCCAATAACATATTTATTTTTAAGTTACTATTATTGTATTACTATTTAGTAATACAACCTTGCTTTGGACTAATTGCTAATAGATAGGGAATCTTGATTAGAATAATTATGGTTGGCAATGACTAGGTTCTGAGCTGAGCCTATTGAAACTCCATGGCCAACAACTATATAGACGTCGTTTTGGTTATCTTGTCTATTACACTGAAAAAAATTGTGTATATGTGTATTTGTCATTGTGGCCTTAGGTCGTATCCGACACTTGCTCAAAATTTTACTCAAATTTGAGTAAAAACTTTATTTGATATGAACTACTCTAATGGACCTAATGCCAAGACGAACCTTCCCAATTCCTTCCAAACTTTGTCTAACTTTGCCACAAACCTCTGTATCATCTTCGTTGCGACATCTAGAACACCGGGGGCCTCCCAAGGATGGGCCACCCACCTTGCAAATTTTGTTGTTATTTTGCTTAAATTGTGTGGATTTTGTACCAAGTGTTGTTTCGCTGATGCGATTTTAGACTAGTTCGAATTATGATTTTTTTGTTATTTTGTTATTTTGCCAAGAAAATAAAAAAAGAAAAGAGAGAATGGAAATATCATAATCATCATTATTGTAGACTTGTAGTGATATTCATTAATAATGAAACTTGTAAATCTAAATATAGTTTATTTTATTTTTTGGGAGTGAATTCCAGTGTTTGTTGATTACAATATTTTTATTTTTATAGTTGAATTTCGGTGAACTGAAAATCGTGTGAATTGCATATAGGTATTGCTTGTTTTAATTTCTTTCATATTTGGAATTGAACTTAACTAAAGTGCACTGCTGTGTAAATCTGTTGAATCATGGATTTCGAATTAAATCTTTTGATTTGATTTAAATATCTTGAATATTCTGAGATTTTGGTTTTTTTTTTTTTTTTTTTCCTATATTGAGATGCTTTGTAATTTCTTGTTTGTTTTATGCCATGGATGAAGGGCATTTTACTTAATGTTAAGACCACAGTACCAACTTTTGTTTGTCTCTTTGTGTAGATCATACTGCCATGCCATGTTAGGCTTCTTTCTTAGTCTATTGACATATTTGTGGAAGAAAAAGGGTAAACCACAAAAAAATAAAAATGCACTTAGTTTATGAATTATGATTGTTTGTCTTAGGTTTCTTCACCAATTCTCATTGTCAAGAGAGCAGGGTTTTATGCTTGGACACACAAAAGCTGGAGAGTTCGAGAAGAGTTTGCACGTACAGTCACATCAGCGATTGGTCTTTTTGCATCTACTGAGCTCCCTCTTCAGCGTGCTATTCTTCCTCCTGTATGGTCATTTATTATGTTTTGACTGTAGAATAGATACCTTACTTATTCTACATTAAAAAGAGAGAGAAACTTACTAGGTTTTTTTGAATTATCAGATTTTGCAAATGTTGAATGATCCAAATCTTGTTCCCTCCTCAGGAGATGTATACTCGGGCTGGGCCTCAGTTTCGTGATGAACTTTAGCGTCATCATCTTCCCACATCACTGGTGAGATAAAACCTACTAACCTTAATCCCAAAAGGAGCAGTCCAAAAGCCAAGAATTCCACTCGGGAGGTGTCTCTGTTTGGAGGTTTATGTGCTTCAATTTAAAACTTCACAAATATTTTGGTGGTTGTTGACAAATTTATGAATTCATATGAAAAGGTCTTTCTCCATATCTTATATTTTGTTATTGCCCATTCCTACTTGGTAAGATGCATTGCATTACTGTATGCATCCAGTAGTTAAATATCTAAGACTATTTTTACTAGTTATTACTTTAAATCTCCTAGAGCTACCATACGACTTAAGTCTCTTATTGAATGATAGGTTGTGGATTTGCTTGGTAGTCATCCCATTGTTCGGCCAATGCCACATCAGCAACAATCTCATACATTTTCATCTCAAGAGGTGAACAATCATTTAATCAAAGCCTTTTTGACAATACAAGACCTTATTAATTAAAATACTTGTTCTTATTAAATGTAGGTTCACCTTTCAAAGAAAGAGAAGATTAAATGTAGGTTCACCTTTCAAAGAAAGAGAAGAACAAGAACAAGAACAAGAACAAGAAGAACTAACAAGGTAAAAGTACCTACATCACAAGGTTTTAATTTCTAAACTTTCTAAATCGATTGGATCTGTTGCTGCCTGTGCTTTCGAACTAGATGGGATTACTTACTCATGCTGAAAATTGACTCTTGGAGATGAAATAATATCGTTATATGTAACGCCCTCAAAATAATAACATTAAACCCAACAAATAAGACATGCATTTACATATAAACTAACGACATTCTTTTATTCATTAGAGTTCCATTACATAAGTATTACATGTTAACATCAAAAAAAAATGCCCTACGGGCTTACAGCTTTCCAAGTTAACACTTGGTTACAACAAAAGAGTACTAACTCGTTTACACATTAAGCCCTTGGCTTGAAGTTACATGTAATACATCAAAAGTTAAGCGTCAAAAGTATGTCCGCCTCTAGCCTCCCAACTATGTCCTTGGAGGTGGCATGCTACCTGCACCTGAAAATGATATTCCCATATAGGGTGAGCCACAGCCCAGTAGAAATACACTAAACCAACCATGAACAATGACTAAAATATTAGCAATTGATAGATGGCCAACACTGATACAATCACATAAATCACATATTTATGTCATACGACTTATGAGTTCAAGTTTCCTTTCATTTTCCCTTTTTCAATGGATAGGCATATAAGCACTAACCACATTCTCAACAGATATGTATGACAATAATATCCACATTCTCAGATAAGCAAATAAGCTATATCCACATTCTATAACAGATATGTATAACCACAATGTCCACAGATAAGCATATGAGCTATATCCACACATCACAAAGATAAGCATATAAGCTCAATCTTCACTTCTAGACAAGCATATGAGCTGTGTCTACGGAGTTCATCCCCTATCTTCTCCCAACACTATCCGGTTTAGAAGTATATCCCCTATCTTCCCCTAAACCGCGGAGTACATCCCCTATCTCCTCCTCTACACATAACGTATATAAACACATTGGTTCTATATACAATCACCCAATACATACAGATAATGTATTCTATCAGTCGTCAAGTTCCATGACACATTTCATTGATTAGTTTCAGTTTGCCTAATCATCATGCATTGTCTACAACAATCACGACTATCCTCCACCGATAGCCCAAAGCAGCTATTTCTAACACCAATTAATTATCCCAATTAATTAAACAATGTAATTAGGCCATTTTCCATAATTACTATTTCAACCCTTAGGTCCCATTTTCTTCAATGATTCAGCAATCATTCCATTTTTTTTTTTCATGCTAAACATGCATCTAGGTTTATTATGAATAAAACCCCAACTTTTGTAAAATTACACAAAAGCCCCAAACTTTCACAAAATTACCAAACCAAGCCCAACATCTCAAAATACCAAAATTTAAAGACAAAGTCCATAGAGAGGAGTAGGATATCCCTACCTTGAAGTTTTAGCCAAAAAGGAGATGAAGACTCGAAGATCAACGTGCTCCAAATCCAAACTTTTTCAGATTAAATCAAAGCTCTCAACACCCTCTATCTTTTTAACAAAGGCCCTAGGCTAGATTCACACCCTAGGGAGATCAAATCTTAGAGAGAATGTAAGTTTAGAGAGAGAGGGACTCGGATTTAGGTTTTGGATCAAAAGAAAGTGAAAAAGTGATGTTTAAAATCGCTACTGTCCGCTGATATAAAACACGCTCGCTCGAGCGAAGGCATGGTCGCTCGAGCGACCAGACACAGAAACTCTCGCTCGAGCCAAGAAGTTCTCGATCGAGCGAAGAAAAACCCAGACCGCTCGAGCGAAGGAAGCTCGCTCGAGCCAAGAAAGGCAACTCTCAGGTCCAGAACCAGACGCAACACTACTCTCGCTCGAGCGACAAACTCCTGGCTCGAGCGAAGGTCCAAAAATCTGGGCAGCAACACTAGGCTCCCGAACACAACCAACCTGTAACAAACCTGCCTAACACATCCTATAACTCAAATATGAAGAAAAGGAATGTAAACACGATAATAACCAAGTACCAACATCCGCGGACACATGTCCGGATCACTGTACAACAAGGGTAAACCCGGGATCGCTATATTATATGCAGAATTGTGAATCTGGAATAAAAACCGATTAATTAGAACTGCTGCTAGAAATGATACTTTTGGACTGTTTGTTTCTCTTCTGATGGTGAATCACAGGTAGTATGAACTTGCTGATATTGGCTTGTTTTAAAATGGTAAAAGATTTGCATAGTGCTTATTCTTCCTATTTTGGGACTCTTTTTTTGCTCCTTCACTCTGATTTTTCCTCCTTTTTTTTATTATTTATTTTTTAAAATTTATTGTACTGATTGCTGCTATGAACCTGGTAAACCTTTTATTACTAGATTCATTTTGAATTGTTGTGCTGTCATTTTCTTTCTTCATGTGAGCATGTGGTAGAAGATTTTGTTATCTGCATTTTGGTTATTATATATAGTCAATTGAATTTGGTGGTTGCTTGGATGATTTTCATCATCTAGTTCCTAATTATTTTTTTACTGTGTAACGGTCCTCTTGGAAATGATGACCATTCCTTGGCAAGAGATTGTCATGACCATGTTAAAGTGGCAATAGTATATGACAGTGTGATCTATTCGTTGGCAAGAGATTGTTATGACCATATTATGCCAGTGATTACAGGGTTTTTGGAGTTAAAATTGAACTTTTGCATGAATAGAGTCAGTTTTTCATTAAATTTTCAATGAACTACCTTCTAGTGTGATCTAGCATCTTGTGTCTGTATGATTGACTTGGTAAACATCATTTTACACTGCGCTTGAACCTTACAGGTGATTGCTTTTAGTGATGAGGAGGGAGTGAGATTTCAATCTACTTTCTTACTAATTGGTTGTAACGCTGCTTGTTCTAAGTAAACTGACAAGTAGACTTTGTTCAGTGGTCTGACAGTGCAAAATGTTCTAAAAGAGAACTCTATAGAAATTTCCGAGGAAAGCTTCTTTGAGCTAAAGTATGATCCGGAGTCTGTTTGGGGTTATATCGAGGTATTCAGTCCATGTTGAATATCCTGTGGTTATTCAAGCTACATAACTTTCTCCGTTTGGTTTCAATTTGGGAATGTTTGTTAAAAAAATTTGAAAAAAAATTAAACACTAGTTTGGTGGGGGGGAAAAATGAAAATATCTTAAACACTCGTCATTTTCATATGTTTTTCTCTTTTGTACTAACATTATATTGTAACTTCTAGGCAGTTCATATTAATATTTGGAAGAGTATTGTAATATTTTTCAGATTTGTATTTGCATTCATGTTAACACACTAAGGCCTCGTTTGGGAATCCTCATTTTTAGCCAAAAAGTAAAAAAGTTACTAAATTAGCCAAAAAGTCAACAACTCATACCAAAAAGTCAAAAGATTCTTTTTTCTCTCTACTTTTTGTACATTTTTTCGTAAAAAGTCAAAAAGTCATCCCAAACATACTTGTTTTTTTTAGCTCATATTTTAGCCAAATAGCCAAAAAGTTACTAAATTAACATGTTCCCAAACGAGGCCTAAATGTGTGTTTTAGTTGCCTTTGTTACTGATGGTGTGGCGTGTGTAGCTACTTTTCTCTTTGTGCTTTGGCATTAATATTCTTAGTAATCTTTTGTAGCTTATTTTGTGTGTTAAATGGGGGAGTGGTGAGAGAGAGAAGAGGGTAATGTCATTTTGTGGCTTTGTATACAAAGTAGTAATTTTTTGATTGAGAATTGTGAATTCAATTTTTGGATATGTTATTTTGTGGGTAATGGTGATTTGATATTACATTGAATGGGAAAGTGAATTAATGTCGCATTTTTTAATGGAAGTTATTATTTCATATTAGTGCTATTCAATTTTATTATAGGTATTCTTTTAGTTCAATCACATTAAATTAGCACAATTTCAAAAAAAAGAAAAAAAAGATGACAAGGCATTTTTAAAAATGCCACGGTTGGAATTTTTTAAAATTAAAAAAACCTATGACGGCATTTTAAAAGCGTCGCTAAAGTCAGAGTTGACGTCACAGTACCGTTAGGATAGGACATTTGGCGGCGTTTATATAGCGACGTTTTCCAAATGTTATAAAGCTATAGCAACAACCGCATTGTCGGCATTTGGTACTAAACGTCACAAAAAGAATTAGTGACGTTTTTACACTTATAGCGGCGTTTTTTAAACGCTACTAAAAGTCTAATTTCCAGCATTGAAAGCTGATTTGCTGTTATTTTTTTTTAGAATTCTGAATTAACTCTCATAAAATATTAATAAACCAACTGTCCAAGGCCCTAGAGCCTAAGGCCTCATTTTGATGCTTGGCCTAGGGCTCAAAAAACCTTAGGCAACTACTATGAAGTAAACCACCAATTCATCAAGCTTTGTAAGTTACCTGGAAAACCTGCATGACTGATTACACAATAACAACAAATGAACTGTTGTTTCAACCTTTGAATAAAAAAAAAAAAAAATCTCTTACTACTAACAGACAATGGTAAAACTTGCATGACTTGATTACACAGTAATAACAAATGAACTGTTGTTTCAATCTCTGAAAAAAAAAAAAAAAAAACTCTACTGCTACTAGCAGACAATGGTAAGATATGTTAATTAATTAAAAGATCCTTTGTAGAAGTGCTTGCCAACAAAAAATTTGGATCCTTGGAGGAGCTAGACTTGTCTCGATTGTCCTTATAGGGTTGAAGCGCAATCCCAAAGCTCTCCTCATAACAGATGCAAAAAGAGTTTATTGAAAATTAATAGCCCATTCTTTTTACCTTTTCAGTAAATACCATCCTCCTTATGAATGTCTATTTCACATTGTCTAAAATTCTCTGCGGTTCTTTCAAACAATCCTCCTCCCATACAAATAGCTGTCTCCTAAATTCCAATCTCCACCTCTTACTTTCACAGTCATGAATAAACACTCCAGCTACACTGTCAAGTTTTCCATTGAAAGTGAAAAATAACCTAGGAAAATTTTGCATTAATGATTTGTCACCAGCCCAAATATTAGTCCAAAACTTCCAATTTAATCCATCTCCTATCTCCAACAGCATATTACTCATATATTCTCGGGTAACCATAACTTTTCATCTCCGATGTACTACTTATAAATTTTAATATCTTCAGTACTAATAATGCTTTCTTTTCTTTCCCAAACGTCCACCACCATTTTGACAGTAAGGCAACATTTTTTATTCTAATGCCACCACTAGCCCCAAAACTCCATTATAGTATAAATCTTTTTCAAATTCACCAAGTGAACTTTCCTTTTTTCAGAACAAAGGAAAGTTATGGTTTGTTAATCAAATGATTGACATGCAGAAGTAATGTGGATGATCAGAGTTAAGCTGTTATCAAGGTTGAAGTAGATGAAGCATTAACAACAAAAACAAAGCCAATTAAATCTGATGTTGAAACAATATCAGCAACATTATCGGTTATCATAGTAAAGAAAATGACCACATCACTCCACAATAACAGATACATACTTCTTAATTATGTTATAGAACACCAAATGTTCTTTTTTTAAAAGGCAAAATAAAATATTTTATTGACGAATAATGTAGTACAAGCAGTACAACGAAATTATATCAATAAAAGATGCACATTCCAACTAGAACGGCATATGCATCAAGCAAAACATAAACCAAACTCAGGCCAAGCCAAACAAACTTGGCAAGACAACAACACCAAACAACCCTAATGAAGCACCACCATAAAGCTCAGAAAACTCCGAACTACACGAATTTGACAGCAAATATCCGACACAACTACAAAGAAGAAAATTCCAGCAATTCCAAACAACACTCGAGCAACTCTGACCATCACTCAAGACAACAATGAAGCACCACCATAAAGCTCAGAAAACTCCGAACCATACAAATTTGACAGCAAAAATCCGACACAACTACAAAGAAGAAAATTCCAGCAATTCCAAACAACACTTGAGCAACTCTAACCATCACTCAAGACAACAATGAGGCACCACCATAAAGCTCAGAAAACTCCGAACTGCACGAATTTGATAGCAAAAATCCATCAGCAACACCACAACCACAACACTAAAACCGAAAATCATTCACCACCTCAACACTAGATGTTCTGTCTAAACTCTTTGCATATATCCACAAGCTAATTAAAGTTGTTGGTTGCCTAAAGAAATCTTCATCTCATACACATGAAATTACAAAGCTAAACATTCACCATGTCCTCCTTGATGGAAAGCAAGCAAGCATGCAAGATAGATGACAGAGGCACTTGTCTTTTTGTTAATCAAGTGAACTCGTCGCTATGTTTAGTTCTTCATACTCTTTAGCAAGCTAGAAACCTGGAAAGCACCAACAGGGGGTTGGTTCAGTGGATAAGACCTTCGAATCTCTCGCTCAAGGCTTGGGTTCGAGTCTCTATAGCCCCTTGTTGGGATTAAACATACTCCTTATCGCCTAAGCTTCGGCCCCGATGTAGGTGCGCTGCAGATATACTGTAGGTACTAAGGGGCAATACTCCCTGACGGATATGTTGGAATAGCCTATCTGCATATCCATTTTAAGAATCAAAAAAAAAAAAAAAAAAACCTAGAAAGCAAAATTGAAAAGCAGAGAAGATCAGAAAAAAAAAATTTAATAAACTAAAATTATAAAACATAAAAACTAGTGGATTTGGGGAAACAAAACTGTTGCAACCCAAAAAAAATTCAGGATTGAAATTGTAGAAATTTAGGTAAATTACAAATACACCCCTTGAGGTTTACTTAAAAACATGAATTGCTCCTTATGATTTTGAAAATTATACTCCACTCGTTCAAGTTTTTAATATTATAACAAATGACCCCTTTCATTAATAAATCATCAAGCCAATTAACAATTTCTAATGATGTCAAAAATATACTTCAATTAATAATTCAAATAATTTTATTATTGTATAAAAAGTAATTAGAAATTTTATTTTTTCTATTAATTATGTTAAATAAAAAAAATGATAATAAGAAAAAATCTATGTTAACCAAATCTCATAGATGTATTTATAATTTATCCTAAAAATGTTAACCACGTGGTGGAAAAGATGCAAAGAACAATTTTGCCTTCACGCTAGAATTAGGGGCAGACAATTCCTTACGCTGAGAGATTTAGGGAAGGGATTTGAAAAAGAAAAGGAAAAATATGTGTGAAATAAGGTGAAATATAGGTATATTTTATTCACATTTCACCTATATTTTCCTTTTCTTTTTCCAAAGCTCTTCTCAAATCTTCTAATCAAACACAACATTAGTAAACAATGAGAACAAGTAACAAACTACCCCCCAAGGCTTCCGTTTCTTCTTGTCTATTTTCATTTTCATTTTTTATTTTGGAAATTGGAAGGCATTACTTGTTTACCATATTGTTTTTGTTTTTAAATAAAAATAATGTTAATTCTAAAATTTTCAAAATTTTTGAAAATGGATCCTCCAATAATATACATCTACAAAAAAAACGTATATCATATACAAGTTATAATACTTTGTGATAGTCATTTTGTAGTGTTAATACCAAAATGTGTCATAGCAAAATTATTTTTAGTCATAACTAAAGAAACCAAAATAAATCATAACCAAACGTCATTTGAGTTATAAGCAAAGACTTCTTTAGTCATAACTAAAATAACAATCATAATAGTTTATAACTAAATTGTAATCAATACCATAATGAGTTATGGTCAATCAAGTCACCACCAATACCACAATAAATTATAATCAAACATCACTACACTTATACGTATACCCAAAAATTTCTTTGATCATAAGCAAAATTAACAATTATAATAAGTCATAATTAATTCATAACCAACCACGATGAGTTAAGCCAATACTACAATTAGTTATAATCAAATAACACAAAGCTATATATGGTATATATATTTTAAAGTGTGTATTATAGAATGTGCAGATATAAGCAGATATACTTTCAAAGTAAAAAGTATCATAAAAAAAAAAAAAAGTGTGTCGTTGCACCTGTGGAACGAGATAATAGTTCGTATTTCAGTTCAACAGGTGTCTGCCTCCAATGGTGTATGCTCGGAATATGCCGAACCTTTTGGTGATCCTTGCTCCCTTCTCCACGTATGCATTCTATGAGCTCATTCGTAACAAATGTCAAAAACAATCCTTGGAGATCTTCGAGATACTCGATGCCATGAGGCAGTATCTTCAACTGCATACATTTCCGAATAGAAAATTCTTGGAGACCTGGCATCACCCCCCTCTCTATAACAATCTCATTTAACTGAGGAAAATTGCACAACTCCAATTTTCTAAGTTTATGGAACCCTTCACTAAAGCATAATTGTCCTCCTCCTTCATATGCATTAAAAAGGTGCAACCGTC